CACCAACATCATCATCGTCATCATCGCCATCATTATCATCATCATGACTTCCAATAATTTTGTGTAGGTGTGATCATCATTCTTTATTTGTAGGCGTTACTCTGCTGGGGGCTGTCTATTTAAAATGATTACAGCCATTTCCGTTTAGAATGAATGAATGAATGAATGAATGAATGAGTGAGTGAATGAGTGAATGAATGAATGAATGAATGAATGAATGAATGAATGAATGAAGGAATGAATGAATGAATGAATGAATGAATGAATGAATGAATGAATGAATGAATGAATGAATGAATGAATGAATGAATGAATGAATGAATGAATGAATGAATGAATGAATGAATGAAGGAATGAAGGAATGAATGAATGAATGAATGAATGAATGAAGGAATGAATGAATGAATGAATGAATGAATGAATGAATGAATGAATGAATGAATGATATGTATTTGTGTAGTTTTACTAATTCCTTGTTAAACTCAAGCACATTTTCGCTACAATTAGGTAAATTTTTGTATATTTTGGCAAACTCAGGTAGAAGGTATTGCTATATTCCTGATGTAATGAAGCATCTCGCTTCTTTTCAAAGTATATTAATTTATATATTAATTCATTTCTTCAGCGTTTTAAATATATCTTTTGTATTTTATTTTGAGATTATTCATTATTATTTGGCATTTTTTTTGTATTTTTTGTTTTTTTTTCATGTTTAGTTTGGTGAAAATTCTACTGAATATATGTTGTCAAATGGACAATTTGTCATACGTGCCTCATGTAGTCCGTTCTATGGGGCTCTCAATTATCTCCTTTAAAGAACGAGCGGAGAGAAGAAATTTTACTTTTTTAAATTTCAGATTATTATTATTATTGTTGTTGTTGAGTTGTTGATGTTGTTGTTGTTGTGTTGTTGTTGTTGAGTTTTTGTTGTTGTGGTGTTGTTGTTGAGTTGTTGTTGTGTTGTTGTTGTTGTTTTGGTTTGCTTTCCTTGGTTGTGGCGATATGTGGATTGATTTAAGCTGATAAGAAACCTCGATATTTTTATTATTACTATATTTTTCACTACAATTAACATTGTTCATTATTATTATTATTGTTGTTATTATTACTACCACTGGTTAATTATATAACTATAATTTATTATCATTATTATTTTTATTTTCTTGTTATATTTGGCTCGAAACTGGCTGGACATAAACTGGACACATATAAACACAATTCACAAGTAAATGGGCCATTAAAATCACGAATAAACCACATTCACACATTTATATACCTACACGCATATATAAAGTGATAGCTGCTGCTACTACTACTACTGCTGCTGCTACTACTACTACTACTGCTGTTACTACTACTACTACTACTACTACTTCTACTACTACTACTACTACTACTACTACTACTATTAATACAACAACAACAACAACAACAACAACAACTACTACTACTACTACTACTACTACTACTACTACTACTACTACTATTACTACAACAACAACAACAACAACTACTACTACTACTACTACTACTACTACTACTACTACTACTACTACTACTACTACTATTACTACTACAACAACTACTACTACTACTGCTGCAGCTAATATTTTTAACCGACAATACTTTATCTTTGACTACTCTGTCCTACTGCTAATAGAAATAACTATTCTACTTATAGAATAACGAAACTTAACGAGACGAATTACTCATAGACAATATTGAGACGAGACGAAATGTTAACGGTTACTATCGATACGAGACGAGATGTAGTGGCTACTATCGAGACTAGACGAGATGTAGCGGTTACTATCGAGACGAGACGAGATGTAGTGGTTACTTTCGAGACGAGACGAGATGTAATTGTTACAACGGTAGCAAGCGGGTTAACGAAATTACGTACATAGAATTATGATGCGTCTCGAAATGAGTTGAGGATTTTTTAATTTTTTTCAATTTTTTGGTTTTTAGTATCTCTTGTCTCTGGCGTTTGGGAGAGTTACAATGATAGAAGAAAACAACAACAACAACAACAATAATAATAATAATGATGATGATACTGATGATGATGATGAACCAGCAATAATAGCAGAAAATTTAACAAAAAAACTCCTCAACAAAAAAACGCGAGTGTCATTCAAGCGATAGGATGAACGCGCGCGTGTGTGTATGTGTATGTTTGTATATGTGTGTGTGTATGTGTGTGTGTATGTGTATGTTTGTATATATATATATATATGTGTGTGTGTGTGTGTGTATGTGTGTATAATTAATGACGTCATCAGAAAATGATATATTGTTCTTTGTTATCACTGGTACCTCATACACATGCACGCTCCTTTGACATACTTCTCCTCGCCCTCCATGATGAGTATTATTATCTTTTTTTTTATCGTGACGTCATAATTGCTGTTGAATTGTTGTTATTGTTGTTGTCATCGTCATCTTTCTTTCTACATTTTCTTTTTTTTTT